GTATTAATGACAGCAACAGGTCACCAGTTACCAAACATAAGTATTAATGACAGCAACAGGTCGCCAGTTACCAAACGTAAATATTAATGATAAGTATTAATGACATCAACAGGTCACCAGTTACCAAACATAAGTATTAATGACAGCAACAGGTCACCAGTTACCAAACATAAATATTAATGATAACATTAATGACAGCAACAGGTCGCCAGTTACCAAACATAAGTATTAATGACAGCAACAGGTCACCAGTTACCAAACATAAGCATTAATGACAGCAACAGGTCACCAGTTACCAAACTTAAATTTTAATGACCACAAGTTACCAAAACTAGATAGTCTATCACATTGTTTTGGTAGTATAAACTACAAAAGTCTATATCTATAACAATCAATTACCATTGTTTTGGTAGTATAAACTACAAAAGTCTATATCTATAACAATCAAATACATTTAAGTGGGCTAGATCTGACTTATCACAACGACTCTAGCCACAACACACCCTAAACCATTATAGGTGGCTATGTCTAAAACTTACTTATGTTCTCCTCACTGCAACTACACCTTTAGATAATGAGGCCTACTGGGAAAAGTTAGATATGGGTGTATCTGTCTTTGAAGTTTTACAAGAAATTTATGTGAAAAAAAAAAATCAGCCTGAAGTAGGTATACAGTGTTACATTCAGGTACACTCACATCCAACAGATATGTTTAAAAGAATCCATAAGAGTGCAGTTTCCAGAAATGTTAAAACGAACTTAGGCATTAAGTTAAATGGACACAGAACAGGACAAGATTTTAGTCTTTACATTATGCAAGTTTTTAGTTATGTAAAAGGATTAGTACACATTTATAATCTTTTGAAATTGGGTTAACATCATTACATAAATGACACCTGCACATAAATTTACCTGAAATTATTTATAGATAGGTGAAATTAATATCGATAACAAAGGCAGGTTGCCTGTCAAGCTTGTCTCATCTCAAGCTTAGCCGCTTTTCAGCCATTTTTTTGTAAAACTTACTAATAGAAGACACATTCTACACATCTGCCATGGTTGGGAGGTTGTATTCCGGTTTTCATTTTCTGCTACGGTTGGAAGGTTGTATTCCGTTTTGTTTTCTGCTACGGTTGGAAGGTTGTATTCCGGTTTTTTATTTTCTGCTACGGTTGGAAGGTTGTATTCCGGTTTTTGTTTTCTGCTACGGTTGGAAGGTTGTATTCCGGTTTTTTATTTTCTGCTACGGTTGGAAGGTTGTATTCCGTTTTTATTTTCTGCTACAGTTGGAAGGTTGTATTCCGGTTTTTATTTTCTGCTACGGTTGGAAGGTTGTATTCCGG